TGCATTTTAAAATTGTATGCATCTGACTAAAAGCTCTTGATAGTCCCATTGAAAAAAATTTCATGTCTATTGTTAAATAAGAAAAGCTTTATTGCACCGTCAAAATAAACCTATCAAACAAACTCAACTCAAAATACTATAATTAGTCTTATTAACTTTAAAAATCGAGCAAAAAAAATCAAGCACAGACATATATTTGCTTATGATTTTAAATGCATGCTTCATGGGTGCCTATTTTTTTAAAAAAAATCATAAGCACAACATTTTTGGAACTTAATATTTTCACCTGGACACACATATGCACAGACATATCCAGTATTTTATGCACTAATCTGTTGAAAAAAAATAAAAATAATCCATGATCTCGAAATAGTAAAAGTAATCTATCATTTCTATAGGAAAGAAAAGAATGAAAGGGGGGTTATTGTAAGCCTGAGGCTTTAATGTCATTTACATGCTTCCTTATTTTAATTTTGAAAAACACAAACAACCTATGAATATTTCAAACCAAAATAAACTCAATGAAATCTCTCTCATTTATAAGGTAAATGAGTTTCAAAATTGTTCACAAACAAAGAAAAAAGCTAGACAAAACTAACCAATGATAAATTGCAAGGAAAATTCGTAGGTTAAACTATACCAAGGAAAATTATGTGCTTCACACTAAAGGTCAAATTCGTTACTAACCATCATTACGCACATGTAGAATATAGTGCCCTTGCTTAACCTCTAATTCCAAAGTATTCGTTTGCTTGAAATTAAAAAGTCTCTCTTGATCATCTGTTCTAATTTAAACCACAAACTAAAAAAAAAATGTAACTATTCCACTAATTTATTGAATAGACCAATTAACCGTGAACAATGTATATAATGGGAAAAAAATAATGAACAATTTACATACCAGCAAAAAAAAACAATGAAAAATGTATTATTCTCTAAAATTCTCTCTTTATCAAAGACTTCTTCCCTCCCAAATAAAAATCCATTTTATCACTTTCTACAACAAAAAATACTAAAAAAAAAATTAAAAACTAACTGGAAAAAAAATGGTGGAGTTTACGATATTTCTCTTAGCCATTCCAACAAACATTTGACGTCCATTATGGTTGACAGCAAATCAACACCTAACTAATAACTTTTGTGTGTGTGTGTGCAAAGTGTGGGGTGTGTGCTGTGGGTGGGTGTGTGCTATATTGTGTGTGTGTACACTTTCCGTAATTTGTGAAAAACAGGGGTAGAGGAGGGAATTTTATGTGTGTGTGTGTCTCGTGTTTGTGTTGGTGATAGAGACAACGAAAGGGATACGAAGACGGCCAGAGAATGAGAGAGAGAAATCACCACCAAACTCTCACATCAAAAGGAAAGAGAAATTTACTGCTAAATATTTCTCTATGGCATTTTAACAAACACTTCATGTGCCATTGATTGGAGCTGTGGGGAAGGGGTGTGGTCATGTTGGTAATCGAAGATGGAAAAGAAAGAGGGTGAAAGAGAGAGAGCTAGACAAAGGGGGAGAGATACTTGGACAAAGGGGTGTCATCGTTGCTGGTGACGTCTCTGCTGGCGGCGTCAGTAGGGATGGAGGAAAGAGGGGGAGAAGGAGAGAGAGTGAGAGAGGAACAGAATTGTGGTGGGGAAAATGTGGAGAGGATAAAATTGAAGTTGTGATGGGGGGTTAATGTCTGTTTTTGTATGTGTGTGTGAGAGAGAGAGAGAGAGAGAGAGAGAGAGAGAGAAAGAGAGAGAAAAGGCATACTTGGGAGGGGTTAGTAGCGGCGGCGGTGGTGGTGGTGGTGTTGCTAAGGCATAACAGAGAGAAGGATAAAGACAGAGAGAGGGGGTAAGTGCTGACCGAAGTGGCGGCGGTGGTGGTGTTGCTTGTGGTGTCGCTGGAGCGTAACTGAGAGAGAAATAAAGAGAGAGGGTAAGGACTCACAGAGGGTGGGATGAAATGATGCAGGAGAGACGGCTGACAGCTTGCGTGTGTCAGGCGCTGTGTGTCGGATGTATACAGTAACGTTCAGAGGGAGGGAATGGGCGTGATAAGATGGTGTTAAAAGAAAAAATATGTGTAGATAAAAATTCAAATGTCCCACTGTTTTATTATACAGATGAAAATGGGTATATAAATGGGTTTTGAGAGGATCTACTATAAGGGTGATTCAGAGTCTATTATGGAGAACATTGGGGAGTAAGAAGAAAATATGTTAGCTTAGGGTATGTTCATTGAGCAAATTCAACAAATGACCAAGGGTTTATACGAGTTTTCAACCTCATAGATCAGACGCTTTGCTAATGTCGTAGCCGATAGTTTAGCTCACTTTACTTTACAATGTAATGATTCTATTTATAGGAGAGAAGAGTGTAGGGTTTTTTTTATCATCTTCTCTGCAATGATGTTTCTTTTAGTGATTTAATTAAAGTATTGCCGTTTTGTATCAAAAAAAAAAAAAATGGATCATCCCCACACTATATTACAATATTAGCTAACTTATTAGATATACGGTTAGTAATTAAGTCACGTTGAGTAATGTTGGGGGCATATTAGCTTGAGTTTGTGTCATGTATTACTTAATTATAATTTAATTTATCTAATTAATCATGTCAGATATGTTGATACTAATTCGATTTTTTTATTATTATGTCGTATACATATTGACAAATATAAACCTATAAATAAAAATTTTAAAATTAAAGCTTTATTATCTCTCAACTAAATCCACACTCATAATTTCATCCTAAATAAAATATTCACTAAATTCATATGATAATAATGACAAGAAAAAAAATTATCTTATCTTACAAGAATTTATATGAAAAAAATGACAAAAAACTAACATCTTATTTGTATATTACTTGCTAAACGTATTAAATTTGAGTTATTTGTAGGGTTAATTGCGGCTGTGGTCCCCAAAGTATTCATTTTGTCTCATTTTGGTCTCAAACTTTCTAATTGCATCAAGTTGGTCCCTCATGTATTTCATATGCACTTACCTAGTCTCCGCCGTTGTGAAATCCGCATGACCCAAGTGAGAGGCTTATATGACATTTACCCTTCTCCCATTCCTGGACGGAAACGGTTGATCAGGAGACTCTTCAATGTCTTCACTTGTTTTGCAACAGGCAAGACTCTTCAGTTAGGACAAAACACGATTCGGGCAAAGCACAAAATAGAGCACCATTTGAACAGGTCAGAACACCATTAGGGCAAAGCACAAAGATGGTACGTTCCAAACGGTGGAAGACTGGGAATTAATATGCAGATGAAGACATTCCTCATTATGGTATGTACTCATTCTCATTGATTTGAGTCTAAGGTTCATGGGTAAAATTGATTTATAAAAGTCGGTATCCAATATTAGATAGTTTATGTGTTTGTTCGAAACCATTTGTTTATGCATTGGAAACTCTTTGTTAATAGTTTTTGTGTAAGTTGCAATATTTTATAGTTGATGTGGTCCTTGAAAACCATTTGTTTATGCATTGGAAACTATTCAGTAATAGTTATGTGTTAGTTGCAATATTTTATAGTTGATGTGCTCTTTAAACAGGATCTTATTATACAAGAATCACAATGGAGAATCTTTAGGTTTATGGTGATATCTTAGTTGATAAAGGGAAAATGGTAGCATCAGAGTTTGATGAATCATACAGTGAATACCAACCTGATTGTGAATCTAATGAGTATGATACGTTGGTTGACAGTATTTATGAAAGTGAGTATGATGACATGTTGTATGATAGTTATGTTGATAATGAAGCTGAATGGATTGGTTTGAATAGTAATAGGTAGAACAACAGACAAAAGACAACAGTTAGAACTCAGTGATACAGATGGTGATTCTGAGGAGATTTTAAGCTGCTTCAATTCATTTGATGGAGAGAATCATGCAAGAAAACATAAAAAATTTGAAGTATTTTAGGGCAGAAAATGATGAGGAAGACCCATATTTTAAACTGAATATGTTTTTTAGTACATCTGATGAGATCACTATAATCAAAATTATTTTTTGTAACAATTTTTTTCGTCGCGAAATTAAAAAATATCGTCGCCGCGATTTTTTTTTTTTTCGCCGCGTGTTCGTCACAATAGCCTTGTTACATAAAGTATTTTGTGACACAAATTTATTTTCAACTCAAAAAAAAAAAATTTGCAACAAAAAAAAATTTGTCCCTAAAATTTCAAAAAACATAGCTAAAATCTATTCCACCAGTATAAAAAAATAAAAAATAATAATTTAATTAACTTTTTGTGACATAAAAAAATCGTCGCAAATAATTTTTTACATAAATAAAAATGTAAAAAATAATAATTTAATTAATTTTTTGCGACGTAAACAAATCGTCACAAATATTTTTTTTCATAAATAAAAAATGTAAAAAATATTAATTTAATTGATTTATTGTGACATAAAAAATCGTCGCTAATAATTTTATACATAAATAAAAATGTAAAAAATAATAATTTAATTAATTTTCGTGACATAAACAAATCATCGCAAATAATTTTTTTCATAAATAAAAAATATAAAAAATATTAATTTAATTGATTTTTTGCGACGTAAAAAAATCATCGCTAATAATTTTTTACATAAATAAAAATGTAAAAAATAATAATTTAATTAATTTTTAGCGACGTAAAAAAAACGTCGCAAATAATGTTTTACATAAATAAAAAATGAAAAAAAATAATTGAATAAATGCATTTGCGACGTATAAAAATCGTTGCGAAAAATATTGTTCCTACAATTTTTCATAACGATTTTAATTTCATTACAAAAAAATTCATAAAAAATGATATTCTAATGAAAATTTTCACCTGTACACCAATAATACATGTGTTCAATGAAAAACTAACACAATTAATATATTTCACATCTTTTGAATTCAACATACATTTCTTTTTTTTTTTTTGAAAAATGAAAAATTTTATTGATAAAAAGCAAAATTACAAGAATCAAAGTAATCAAGGCTTTAACAAAACAAAAAGCCACAATTGACTTTAACCTTTCAAAAATAAAATTCCAACAAAATTCTTCTTCATATGTCAAAACTGCCCAACAACATATGCCGCAATCTACATCAGTCACCAATTCAGAGCTCCAATCATCTCCCAACACAGCAGCACAACATCACCATAGCACAACATCACCATAGCTCTGCAGCACCATAGTTCAACAACTCATGAATGTAAAATAGCAAAGCAGCACAACAGGAGCATTGCAACACAACAGACAACACCTCTCAGCAGCAACTAAGCACTTTACGTCCTCCCAAGAGTCTTCCTCAGCACAGCAGTACAGTCAGTACAAACAGTGCATCAGAAACTGCTACAACTTAACAAAATTAACCACCATCATCAAATACTAGGCCAGTCATGGTTCCTCCTTTCAAGACAAATTTCTTCCTTAATGCTGGCAATAAGGATTGATCCTGCTGTAATAACAACCTTCCAGCAACTGGTAACACCCCAGAAGCAGAAAAATCAGAGCTGCATATGGACTTTACAGCATAAGAGGCAAGAAAATCAGCAATCATATTAGCTTCTCTGTAAATGTGTTTTATCCTTACATTCAAACTGCCCATGATAACCAAAATTTGATCCAAAAGCCCCTTATATCTCCATGGAACCCCAACATTCCCCAACACCATCTCAACCAACACTTTTGAATCAGATTCAATGAGAATCTGCTTCATTTGTAAGCCATACTGCACCACCAATTTCAAACCATCCAATAGAGCTCTACATATTTGTGTGCATGTTAGTGTCAAGATAATAAAATACAGTAGCAGCTAGAATGACATGGCCAGCATGATCTCTTAGAACCATTCCCCCCACCTAATAAGCCACTCAAAGTATATTTGGGTCAAATGGGAGCCATGTCCTTTTTAACGGAACCACTTACTTAAGAATTCAATTAACTTTAAATACAAGCCACAAGAAAGTAAACATGACTTCACAAAGTACCTGAGACTTGAGAATCTCATGTTCTTTCTCTATTGCATCTGAAGAAACAAGGTCCTTTGACAGAAATAAAGGCTTTGATGCCACAACATGCATTGCCAATTTTGATCCAACACGATGGAGGGCATCCAATGAAGCATTCTGATCTTCTACCTCAAGGGATAAAATAGCAGCAATACGTCCCATGCCTGAAATAACAAAAACACAACTAAGAGGCATTTGTTGATTCAAGATGCTATATTAAGAATGTGTTCCAAATGTATTAAATAAAATGTTTCCAACAAACACACATGTATAAATAGATGCACAAATATATGCATGTCTGAGAGAATATTTTGCATGCTCTAATATGCTTTGATATCACAACAAAGTTAGACTTTATCTTGAGATCAATTAATAAATCTACGCCATACAGGCTGTATGTCAGACATCTTCTTTTGAGCATCATCATAAGCAGCACGGCCAACTTCATGCTGAAAAAGTCCACAATAGAACAATGCACATCTATGACATCTAGCTCTACATAAAAGTCAAATAGTAAAAGTTTCCAAGAAACAGAAAATAGCAGAGCCCATATGTTATCTGGATCGATCAACCATTTGTTGATCATTAACAAATTACTCTTGACGAGACTCAATCAAATGCCAACTCACCTTCTTATTCAAAAATTTTCTTTTGGTAGACGTAACTTCAAGTTTTCCATTGTGCTCAATCAATTGTTTTTCCCAAGGTTCTAGCTCAGCATGAACCTTTGCTAGCTCACCATGGAACATCTCAGTTTCAACTGTTTCTCAACCGAATAAAACAAAGGGACAACATTAATTCTCCTCAGAGAGCAAACATATTTATCACACCCCTAATCCAGCAGCATGTGAAATGAAATTCATAGCAACTTTGATACTTGTATCTTAATTGTTTACACTGAAGAAAATACCTTTGGAGTTCTCCTTAATTTCCTCTAAGACTTTCTCTTCATCAAGAAAGAGTTTTTGCAATTTGGGAATGTCTTACTCCAGTTGGGGTATGAGATTTGTTGACTCCTGGCACTCCTTTCAAATCCCAGTAATCTTTATTGAATCCTATAGTGGAACCCAAGGTAAGATACATGCATTAGTTTCAATACAAGTGGAGACCAATTGTTCCCATACCTTGTCAACTTTCTCATCGAGTTTCTTGATCTTTTGCTTCATGTGCTTTAAATCTTCACGATATTTAACATCCTGTCTTTCATACTCCTTGAATTCATCCTTGCAACACCTAAGTTCGCTATCAAGTTCCTAGATTTGAAAACAAAAGTAAAGAAATATGTTTCACTATTGAGTTTGATCTTGAGCCAACTAGCATTAGCATGTACGAAAAGGTTTCTAAGACAAGGCATGCATATTTTAAAACCAAAAAGTTACCCTTACAAAAATTTATTGCAGCCAACTTATTGGACAACAGTACATCCAGTATAGCACTCAACGAATACCTGAGAAACAAGAAAGTTTGGCATCTACAACATAACTAGGAAAGATTATCCTAGCAGAGGCCATAAACCAATTATACAGTCACGTGATACAAAATAACCAAAACCAAATCAACAGCTCCACCCAAAAACTTCCTCCAGACCAGTCTAAAGCAGCAACTAGCTATGCAAAGCACTTTCAAAACCCAAACTAACAGCCTGCCAATGCCTTTCCTTATACCATATTTCAAACAAATCGACAGTTACACCATATAGCCAAAAAATTAACCCTTATCATAAAAAATCACTTAAAAGGCAAACCCCTCAAATCACATATTAAAACAACAATCACACATCAAAACAAGATGGAATCATACAATATTTAAATACATAACCAAAAGATAATTCGTCAGCCACTTTAATGCAGAAGTCCAAAATTCATCTGTTAAAAAAAAAGAAAAAAAATACATTAATAAATTATCAATCAAATTTTTCAAAAACATAAAGGTTTTCTAATTCTTAAGTATTAAAATTTTTAGTTTTTTCGTAAACTCTTAACCCGTCCTGAAATGAGATGTCTTTTCATACAAATTTATATATCCAAATAGTTCTTCTTCATCCGTTTTCAAGGTGAACATAGTTGAAACAGCCCGATTGACACCCTTAACTCCAAGTTTTAGGTTTTCTAATTCTTAAGTATTGAATTTTCTAGTTTTTTTGTCAAACTCTCAACTCGGGTCCCTAAATGAGAAACCGTCTTTTCCTACAAGTTTCTATGCCCAAATAGTTGTTCTCCATTTGCTTTCACGGAAAACGGAGTGAAAATGAGCCGATTGGCCCACTTAGCTCCAAGTTTTAATTTTTATACTTCTTAAGTGTTGAACTTAAAACGATAGTAAAAAAATACTAACTAAGACTCAGGTGGCATGTCTAAATTAGTTGAGTTGCCCTGCAGAGCACGTTGTATTTGAAGTTGCATCTGCAAAAGTTGTTGCATCATCTGTTGCTGCGTGTCTTCAAACTTCTCTAGCTTGTCTTTCGTTTCATCACATTCCTTTTGAAGAGAATCAATAGTTGCTTGCAACTCTTTTATCATATCAACTTGTTCTCGATACTCAGCAGTGGATCTGAATGGCTGACTAGAGGATGAAGGCTTCGGGCCATGTCCAAATCCTTTCTTATATCCAGGTTGGTTTCCAAGGATTGTGCATGCAATTTCATCCTATGGCAATGGCTCTCACCCTCTTCTAAATTCGATGTGGCCAATTCTTTAATCCGCTCCTACAATTTAATATATTTAAACCCAATTATTTTTTTTTCGGTACAAAAACTCAATTATTGAGTGTATCATAAAAATTTATTTAAAAAAAAACATAATTTTCTACAATTTGAAATACTTATATATCTTGACTCTGCCTCAGTTGAAACCCACTCACCCTTCTTGTTCACATGAGAATTGTGAAAAAAATCAACAATGTGGGGTGGTTCATCAGTCGTAGCGTCCCTCTGTTATAGTTAATCAAAATATCAATATTCAATTTTATGAAATTCCTATATATTGAAATTTAGGAAACAAATGTTAAAGTATAACACCCTTTCATATAGGACAGACTGAAAAGACTTTGAACCCATTGAGTGGTTGTATGGCAGTTTGGCACGAATTTTTGCATTTTTCTTAGATTTTGCCTATATACTTGGGAATAAAAAGTGGATATTAATTTGCATAGCTTATAAAAGTTACCTGAAATTTTGGATCCTTGTAAAATGTTTCAATTATGTACTCTCAATCCTCCTGGCTCACATCACCATATGGCTTGCTCTTTGGGTCAACACCAGCCTCAACCAAATCCTTGTAGTACATATGCATATAGTATCGGTGGTCCCTGTACCTCGCAGCAATTTTTTTGTGGATGGTCCTCCTAATACGAACTTTTTCACGATAGTCTCTAATGTTAAACTTTGTCTACAACAAAATATAAATATACAAATTAATTACAACATGTTGTAACACTCTACACAAATAAATATATTGTTGAAACCAAACAAATATATCCACTAACCAACCGTGCAATGAGTGGTGCTTTCTCCTCTTCTGTTATCTATTTTCATTTGTGCATATTTCTAATAAGGGCAAACGTCCTCTCCAGGGAGCCAATCTCTATCATCACCTTTGAAGAATGTACACCCACTGGAACGCCAACTCCATTAGGAATCAAAACATCAAGCGAGCCGTGAGCTGCACAAAGACGCTCAACATTTTTTCCTCTAGACGGTCCTCGACCTTGTTTCTTGGTGGTAGAAGCTGTTGCACAAACATTAATAATAGATGTTAGCCCACCATATTAAGAAAAATATGTTTAAAAAATAAAGTATGCATCAAACCTGTATTGCTACCCTCAGTGCCTACAAGAGGCTGTGATGTAGGTGCATCAGATGATACAGCTCTAACATGTGTACTCGAGGATGAAACCTTACTAGCTGTTGTGATGGCTCGGCGACCTGGTCCCATATATAGAAAACACTTGACATATAGAAATATATAAGTTATATCGACAATATCCAAGTATACCAATTATATAAGTCATAATTTATTAATTACCATGAAAATATCTTAATAATTCATCTACATATCTGACCCTACATCAGAATCAAAATGGGAATGCACATCATCATCCTCTTGTGAATCGACATACTCCACTTGTACCTCTTCATTGTCATCACATATGAAATCATCAATGTTATTGTCTTCTTTGTTTCCCCAATGGACAATCCAGTCTCGAGGAATGATTTTTAGATCAAGATTAGTCCTATGAAGTTGACCTATTTCGTTATCTTCGACCACTACAAGATCAACCTCTGTTGATAACAGGATGCATCACTTGGAACATATGATTCATTTTCACTAACTCCTATATCTTCCAACTCAGGAACATCCCATATTCCTCGATGATGTATGTGTTGCACAGCTTGCCAAACCCAACCCAATTTTGTATCATTAACATAAAATACTTGTTTCACCTGATCAGGTAGGACAAAAGGGTCATTTTGATACCATCTACTTTTCACATTAATGCTTGTAAAATGAGCATCAGTCTGAACTGTTTTTTCACTACCAAGGTTGAACCATTCACATTGGAACAAAAAAATACTATGGCCAAATAAGTAACTCATCTCCCACACCTTATATAAGTTTCTGTAGAAGTTAATTGTTTTGTTTTTATGTTCTCCTTCTACAACTACCCCACTATTTTGGCTTTTTCGACGATTGTCACGCTCTTTAGTGTGGAACTGGACACCATTGCATATTGCCCTAGAGTCACATCAGGACCATTTGCTAGTGGCCATAATTCATTAGTTGTTTCATGTGACCCTTCGCCTCGTAACTGATTCATCTACACACATGAATATGAAAGTTTTTGTGGTTTTACAAACTAATGCAAATAATGCTTATAATCTAAATGTGTATAGCTTACACGTTTTGTAAACCACTTAAGAAATTCTGCTTGGTGACGACGAGTGATGTCACCATTTCTTTCCAATTGTAATATATTTTTGTGTTCCCTACATATAAAACCATAAATTTGACATATAACAAATTTTAAACAATTAAAAAGCACAATAAGAGTGCTCACAAATATGTATATTTAACATACACATACTCTAGATACAGATCTAGTTCGGAACTATTATGTAGGACAAACCAATGAGCCATCTCTCTTTCTTGTTGAGAGACCTCAATTGCTCTTGTAATTCGCCCAAAAGGACAAACATTTTGGATGAACACAACTAACCCATGCACATTTTCAACTCGATATGCATTTCATTCCTCGCAATTAAAAACTGTTTCAATACCAGTAAGATACATCGAGCAAAAGGTAAGACATTCTTTGACAATATAGGCCTCCGCAATTGAACCTTCTGGACGAGCTCAATTATGAACATATCCTTTTTAAAGTTCTGAGATACCTTCAATAAATCACAAAACATATAAGGAGATAATAACAAAACCAAATGAGAAGCTAATAACAACTTAAAATATCACCTTTCCACTGGGTACATCCACCAATACTGCACTGCTATAGCAATCTTAGCTTCCCTTGGCAAGTGAACTGCTAATTGCACCATAACATCAAAAAATACTGGTACAAATATCTTTTCTACGTTATAAAGAATAAGTATTATGTTATCTTGTAGTGCATCCAAGTCTTTTACCATCAATGTCTTTGCACAGAGTTGTTGAAAAAAATTTCCCAGCTCAAATAAAGTGGTACAAATTTCCTTATCCAAGTAACCACAAATTCCAAGTGGAATAAGTCGTTGCAGAAG